CGCGGGGGCCGGAGCTGGGGTCCAGGGCCGAGAGGCCTTGCCGTTGCCTGGCTGGCTGCCTGTGGTCAGCGCGTGGTGCCCCCACAGCCCAGCGAAGGTCCCACCTTTCCGTCCCTGCTGGGCCCTCCCGGAGGGTGGAAGCCCTTTCTCCTGTTGTGAGAGTTGCAGACCTGGATGGAAGGAGGGTCTCTGCCTCCTACGCCAGCCCTGGCCCCAGGCCCCCCAATTTTGAATTTTCCTCTCAAGCTGGATAAAGACTGGGAGGGGGGGTCCCAGCAGGCATCTGCACCAACGGCCACTTGAGGTCATCATGGGGCTTGGGTGGCTGATGGTGGCAGGTCTCCTGTGGAAGTGGCAGTGTGAGGCCTTTCAGAGAAGTTTGTTCAGACCTTTCTAGACCTATACCTCTCTCCAGGCCCAGGATCTGGGCACCTCCTGGGCAATGGGCAGTGACTGTACTGACCTCTGACCTCAACCTTACTGATAGCTTCTGTAATTCCTTTCCCATCCTCTCTGATCTCAGTTAGTTAGAAACTGCCAGGAGAGGGGTCACTTGTTCACATCGCCCCCTACCCACCCTCTTCTGCAGCCTTGGGTGTCCCTGTTAGAGGACCCAGTAGGACTGAGCTCAGAGTCCCTCCAGTTCTCATGCCCATGCAGGCCCAGCTCACGTGGCGAGGTGTTCCCTGTGGCTGGTGGCCAGTAGTCTCTGCAGTGGTGCTGGTGGCCCTGTAGATGGGGACAGAGAGGTTCCAGAGGGTGGAGGTGAGGACAGCCAGGTGGAGGATGGCCGAGGAGCCCAGCCTGCATGTGGCCTCCCTCGGGGTGGAGGGGCCCCAGCAGGAACAAACAGAGAGAGGGTCACATAGGAAGGATCCACTAGGACAGGGACCTCCTTCCTTGGTCCTGCCTCTGGAAAGGGACGCATGCAGTTGGGGAGGGGTTAGGGGTCCTCAGTGCCCGCATTGGCCATCTTCCATCTGTGTCCTGGGAGAAAGATCCAGGGGCACCTGCCTGGGTAGGGTGGCATTGCCTTGGGGCTGGGTGGGGCTGTGAAGGAAGGTGTCCCAGGGTGCCCGGCCAACACAGCCTGAGTGCCAGCAGCCATGTGGTGTCATAATTGGCCCCAGGAGCGATGCTGTTAATCTCCTGCCTGAGCACTCTCCCTCTCCTGGGGCCACCCAGCCCTGTGCCGGGCGTGAGGTGCGTGGCTCTCGGCACCTCTGCACTGTGTCTAGGACACATGGAGCCCATTGGACCTGATGAGGGTCTCAGGACAGGGTCAGATCCTTCCAAGCTGATGGGGTCTCCTGGGGAGAGCTCAGCTGGGCAGTCACTCCCCTAAACTAGAAGCCGCCCATCACCTGCTTTCCCTGTGACCAAGAGCACAGGCAGGCTGGCTCCCTTTTCTGCAGCCAATGAGCAGGTCTGTCTGGGGGTGGGGTGCAAGGACAGCCATTTCAAGTCCCGAGAGCCAGCCCTGATGGACCTCACAGGTCTGTCCACTTGCTCTGCAGCAATGACTGATCCTTTCTGTGTTGGAGGCGGCCGCCGGCTCCTGGGGTCCAGCAAGAGTGGGCCTGGGAAGGATGGCAGCCAGAATGAGGTCCGACTTCCTGTGCGGCATGATCCAAAGCTGGGTAAGAGGGGTCAGGCTAAGGTCAACTCCAAGCTGTTGGGAGCAGCAGTGCTGAGTGGGCCACCTCCCGAATGTCCAGCTCCTGGGTGCCAGGTAGCTGCCTGGGCTCCTGAGAGCCTTCCCAGGGTGGGGGCAGCCAGGGGCCCTGGATTCTTGTCCTAGGCTGACTACAGCCTTCCATCCCCAACCCCATGCCTCATCAGGGGGGGAATGAGGCTCACTCCAGGCCTCACCAGGCTCCTGGGTAGCAGGAAAGACTACAGGGAGCACAGCTCCAAGCCTTGATGTGCCGTGTGCTGCAGGGTTGCCGGTGGCCCGGGGTGGGCAGACAATGCCTAGCCAGGCCCCACTCTGCTTTGACCCGGGAAGTCCAGCCAGCGACAGGACAGAAGGGAAGAAAAAGGGGCGTCCGAAAGCTGAGAACCAGGCCCTCCGAGACATTCCCGTGAGCTCCCTGAGGGCTGGGTGGGGCTCATGCTGGGGTCTGCCTGTAAGGCCATTGCCCTGCCTTTGCTTGCCATCCACATGTCCAGCACCAAGCCCTCAGCCCACATCAGTGGGCCACTCTGTGCCTAGGGATTCGTGGCGTGGCCTGGGGCCCAGTGGACCATGTTCGTGGGCCCTCAAGAGCACCCTCACTGCTCAGGGTGGCCTGGATCTTGCTGCGGTCCCAAGGTCAAGGGCTCCTACAGTCTGTCTGCCCTGCAGGCCTGGGCAGGGTGCTGAGTCTGGGGCTCGGGTCAGCAAAGGCCGGGTGGCTGAGGGTCAGCAGCCTGGCCTTTCCCATGCCAGCTCTCTCTGATGACCCAGTGGAAAGACGAATTCAAGGTGCACTCACGGGTGAAGTGTCCCAGCTCAGGGTGCTGGCTGGAGTTCCCCAGCATCTACGGGCTCAAGTACCATTACCAGCGGTGCCAAGGGGTAAGGGGCTGTGGGCTGGGGAAGAGGAGGCCTGAACCCACCCTGCCCAGCTGCTGGCTCGGGTGTGTCTGCACAGAGACCTGGGCAGCCCATGCCACGCCTGCCCTCTCTACCCAGGGTGCCATCTCAGAAAGGCTGACCTTTCCCTGCCCCTTCTGTGAGGCCGCCTTCACCTCCAAGACCCAGCTGGAGAAGCACCGGATTTGGAACCACATGGACCGACCCCTGTCTGCCCCCAAGCCTGGGCCAGTCAGCCGGCCAGTCACCATTAGTCGGCCCATTGGGGTCAGCAAGCCCATTGGAGTGAGCAAACCTGTCACTATTGGCAAGCCTGTGGGTGTCAGCAAACCCATCGGTATCAGCAAGCCAGTGACAATCAGCAGGCCTGTGCCGGTCACCAAGCCAGTGACGGTCAGCAGGCCTGTGCCGGTCACCAAACCAGTGACGGTCAGCAGGTCCGTGCCGATCACCAAGGCTGTGCCGGTCACTAGACCTGTGCCGGTCACCAAGCCCATACCAGTCACCAAGTCTGTGCCCGTCACCAAGGCAGTGCCAGTCAGCAAGCCAGTGCCAGTCACCAAACCAGTGACCACAAACAAGCCGGTGCCGATGACAAAACTTGTGACAGTTACGAAACCTGTGCCAGTCACAAAGGCCGTGACAGTCAGTAGGCCCATTGTGGTCAGTAAGCTGGTGACAGTCAGCAGGCCCATGGCCATCAGCAGACACACACCGTCCTGCAAAATGGTGCTGCTGACCAAGTCTGAGAACAAAACTCCTCGGGCCACGGGGAGGGCCAGTGGGAAAAAAAGGTATGGGGGTGCCTTCCAGATCGGGGGGGTGCTCGCCGGCTGCAGCCTGGGGTGACAGCCCGCAGCGAGCCCCTGATCCCCCTGCCTCCTGCTCCGTACCTCCCTCCCTACAGGGCTGCGGACAGCCGGGACGCCTGCCCCCTCCCACCCAAGCAGGCGCGGTCAGAGAGCGGGGAGTGTGGCCCACCCACCACAGGCCAGGGCTCAGCCCTCCAGCCCAGCACAGACCCCAGCAGTGGCCCCCTTTCTCTAGGCAGCAGGCCCTTGGGGGGCAAGGAGGTGCCAAGGGCCACAGGCCCTGTGTCCCTGCCTGAAGAGGGAGCTGAGCGCATGAAGCACAGTAAGACGGGGCGGGGGATGTGGCAACAGCCAGGACGGGCAGTGGCCAGCCTCCCGATGGTTATTTGACCAGATCTTGGCCCTCGTTTCTCTCCCCTGAGTCAGGAAGGAAACAGAAAACACCCAAGAAGTTCACAGGGGAGCAGCCATCCATCTCAGGAACCTTCGGACTCAAAGGTGAGGCCCCAGTCAGCCGGGCACCGGTGGGACTGGGCTCATGCACAGGTGTGCTCAGGCCCTTGGCCCACACCTGCGCCACCCCACACATGTGCACACAGGCCTGGCCAAGGCAGAAGACAAGTCCCGAGGCTACCGTGCCAAGAAGCAGGAGGGGCCTGGCCCCGAGGATGTCCGAAAGAAGGCGCCGGCCCCCGCCAACACTGTCGGCAAGGAGGCGCCGGCCCCCGTGGCCCACTCAACCCCAGGTGGGGGCTGCTGTGTGGGGGGCACAGGCTGGATCTTGACTGTGAGGTGGTTACTGGACCACACAGACGGGGCCTGAGTGTGGACCCTGGGCTCTGTGCTTGGCGTTCAGGGCATCTGGGAGCCCGAGACAGCCCCTGAGGCCCTGGCTCTGCCCCACAGGTGGCCCTGAGGAACAGTGGCAACGGGCCATTCATGAACGGGGGGAGGCCGTCTGCCCCACGTGCAACGTGGTCACCCGGAAGACCCTCGTGGGGCTCAAGAAACACATGGAGGTGTGTCAGAAGGTAAGGCTGCCCCAGGGGCTTCTGGGGGGAGGTGCCCCAGAGCAGCTGCTCATGGGTCCCTGGTCTGCAGCTGCAGGATGCCCTCAAGTGCCAGCACTGCCGGAAGCAGTTCAAGTCCAAGGCCGGTCTGAACTACCACACCATGGCTGAGCACAGCGCCAAGGTACACCACAGGGCCCAGCTGCCATCCAGCCTGCCCACTGACACTGACCACAGGCCTCCCCTTCATCTCACCCACCCTGCCCAGCCCTGCCCACTGACCTTTCATTCCCACACTGCCTGCCCATGAACATCTGTGGCTCCAATTTGGGGCAGGGGCCCTATGGGGATGAGGCACTGAGGCTGGGCCTGCCCCCCAGCCCTCTGACACGGAGGCCTCCGAGGGGAGTGAGCAGGAGGAGCGCGAACGACTGCGCAAGGTGCTGAAGCAGATGGGGAGGCTGCGTTGCCCCCAGGAGGTCAGTGGGACGACAGGGGGGACAGGGTGGGGCGAGGCACAGCCCTTTGCTGGCCTCTTACTGACCCGTGACCCCCAGGGCTGTGGGGCCGCCTTTTCCAGCCTCATGGGCTACCAGTACCACCAGCAGCGCTGTGGGAAGCCGCCCTGCGAGGTAGACAGTCCCTCCTTCCCCTGTACCCACTGCGGCAAGACCTACCGCTCCAAGGCTGGTCATGACTACCACATGCGCTCGGAGCATACAGCCCCGGTGAGTGGCCAGTCCGCCTGTCCTTCAGGCAGCGAGTACGCATGTCCCTCCCCCCCCGCCCCACTTGCTCATGTGCCCCTGCCCACAGCACATGTCTGGTTCACTGCGCCTTCAGGCCATGTGGCTCCTGTTACTCACCTTGGCCTCCTCACCCTGCAGCCCCCCGAGGAGCCCCAGGACAAGCCCCCTGAGGCCGAGGACCTGTTGGGTATCGAGCGGACCCCCAGCGGCCGCATCCGCCGCACGTCGGCCCAGGTTGCCGTGTTCCACCTGCAGGAGATTGCAGAGGACGAACTGGCCCGAGATTGGACCAAGAGGCGGATGAAAGATGACCTGGTGCCTGAGACGGCTCGGGTGAGCCACCTGGGCTCTGAGCAGGATGTGCCTCCACGTGGGGTCCCCTGTGATGGCCCTGCCCCCTGTGACCTGGGCCAGCGGCTGACCTCCAAGGTTCAGATCTCCCTATGGAGGGTACAATCGAGGGCCTCTTTAGAGCAGTGGGAGTGTCGCTGTCAGCTCTGGCCCAGCTGCTGGGGCTCACCCCGGTGCCTGCCTGTTTTCACAGCTCAACTACACTCGGCCAGGCCTCCCCACACTCAGCCCCCAGCTGCTGGAGACCTGGAAGAACGAAGTCAAGGAGAAAGGCCACGTCAACTGTCCCAATGACGTGAGCTGGGGCAGGCTGGTGGGTGGGCAATGGGGACTTAGGGACAGAGAGCCCAGGTATGGCCCTGGGTGGCAGCCTTCCAAGTGGCCAGCCTACCTGTGGTCCCTGGGCCTCTGCAGGGTGCTCAGACAGAACCCTGTTGGCAGAGAGGCCTCGACCTCAGCCCCAGAGGCCCAGCCTGCCCACAAGTCTCCATGGGGTAGGAGCTATGATTTGTGTGGGGGCGCTGCCGGGAGGTCCTCCCCATGACTGTCTCCTGCCCAGTGCTGTGAAGCCATCTACTCCAGTGTGTCCGGCCTCAAGGCCCACCTCGCCAGCTGCAGCAAGGTGAGTCCCAGGCTGTCCACCATGTGGACAGGTGCTCAGCAGTGCCCCCGGGACCCACACATGGGACATGCGCCCTTGCCTTTTGGGCAGCCTCTTCCATGAGCCCAGGGACCAGCCGGTGCTCCGTGACCTTTGCCGTCCCCCAGCCACAGAAATGAGTCAGTCAGTCTCAAGTTGTTCCGCCCATGGGCTCCTCCCGTGGGTACCAAGGGGCATGCTGACGTGTCTAGATAAGCCAGGGCCACCTTCCCTGTAACTGCAGGTGGGGAAGTCCCGTCCAACACCTGGGGCTGAGCTGCCCGTGTCTTGCAGGGAGACCATCTGGTGGGAAAGTACCGCTGTCTGCTGTGTCCGAAGGAGTTCAGCTCTGAGAGTGGCGTCAAGTACCACATCCTCAAGGCCCATGCAGAGGTGGGTGGCACAGCCTGTGCCAGGGGCCGGGGCCTGTGCCTGGATG